GCCCGCTCCCAGCGACCCCCGAGCACCCACCGGGAGGCGACTGCCCGTTCACGGCCGGCGCGTTCTTCGTCCAGGGGTTCACCTTGGGCGGCGGGGCCTCGATGAACTCCCGGCGCCCCGCGCCGCCAGCCTCGCCGCCGTCCTCCGCCTCGCCGCCGGCCCTCAGCAAGCTCTCCTTCTCCTGGTTGTTGCTCTCCTCCTTTTGCTGCTTGGCGCTGGGCGGCCTCGGCGCCGCCGGCCCGCCGTCGGGGCCCATGGGCGGCTCGCCCTTCTCCCGGCCGCCGTCCTGCGGCGGCTTCAGCACCAGGGCGCGCTCCTCGGCGGGCAGCAGCGGGGCCGTGCCGGGCAGCAGCGCCTCCACCTGCGTCGCCATCTGCGCGCCCCCGAGCCCCGCCGGGAACCCCCCGACCCCGGTGCCGCCGCAATATGGAGCCGCGCGGGGACCACGCGACTGCCGCGGGGGCGCGCACCGCCCGCCCGTGCGCGCCGCCCCCGAGGGGAGGCCCGCGGCGCGCACGAGCCTGATGCAACGCCCGGCTGAGCTGGGGGGGCGGGCCGGGGGACTTAAAGGGCTCCGGCCCCTTCCCCGACAGCCCGGCCTCGCTGCCCGGCTGGGACACGCTGGGCTCGGGCTAGGGGGACCGCTGCCGGCTCGGGGACTCCGGGGACGAACGCACCGGTGGAGTCCCCGAGCCGCCTTCGACAGAGTCTCCCCGGTCGGTATCAGCCAGGAGCCGAGGGATAGGGATGTTCTCGGGTGGGATAACGGGATAACGTGGTTGGAAAGTGCAGAACACTCGGTGCGTGTCCTGGGAAATCACGGAACCACAGAAACGGTCAGGTTGGGCCGTCTGGTTCCACCTCTCTGTGTAAACAGGGTTGTCCCAGAGCACATGGCATGGCACAGGATCGCATCCATACGGTTCTTGAATATCTCTAGTGGGGGAGACCCCACAGCCTCTCTGCTCCAGTGTGGGTCACTGCACAGTAAAGAAGTTCTTCTTTATATTCAGATGGAACTTCCTGTGCATCAGTTTTTACCCATCGCCTGCGTCCTATTGCTCAACACCACTGAGAAGAGCCCTGCTCCATCTTCTTGGTACGCCCCCTCCCTTTAGATATTAATACACATTGGTGAGGGAGAGACCACCTCTTGTCTCCTGTGCCCAGCAAAACCTTTGTTTGAGTAGGCTAAAATTGATCTCTAGCTGATAGAATGTCATTTGCTCATCCCCATTAATATTCCTGGTATTTGTCCTCAATTCTTGCAGCCAGCAAGACAGCGACTGCAGACTGTGTGTGAATGTACACATGAATTATACACATTTAAAGGCAACTTGCATTGCTGATACCATTTAGCACAACCTGACTAGTTCACAGCAGCCCTTACTTGATGCCTTTTTATTCAATGCAAGCCTCTACCAGCCTCTTTCCTCATCACAGCAAGCACACCACTCTGCTTCTGCCCAGAAAGGTTCATCTGGAAGTCCTGGCATGTCCTGCAGCCCCAGGGACACATCTATGCAATCCCTGCAGGAGACCCGTCAGCATGACAAGGCACTGAAGATGTAGCTGCCAGCTGCTGATGCGTGGAGAAGGATGAAAAGCTGATTTCACTGTTGGAAGGAAAGAAGAAAGTGAGAAACAAACATGAGCTCAGCACAACATTTGGAAGGGCAACAGCATCAGGGCTCTGGTGGATCCATAGAGGGAGTTCCAGGCTGTCAGGGATGCTCCACTGAGACCATTTCACCTCTCTGTGTGTCCCAGTACCCAACCTCTTGGCTCAGAGAGTACCCTCCTGTGCCACAGCCTCAGGGATCACTAGCAGTTGTCCCAAATTATTCAAGAATTTGGCCAGTAAAATTACAAAAGGAAGTTTAAATATAACTCCAGTAGAGAAGTCTGCTGGCCTGGCTGGCTCAGTAGCTGAACTGTCGTAACCCAAGCCACATCCTGTGCTCCTGTGCCCAGTCCCTGATGTGCCGGGGGGTCCCTGCACTCCTCATGAGCACGGCTTGGGATCTGCACAGCTCCCAGCCAGTCCCACCTACACCCCCTCTAGGATCTGCTCCTTGCATGGGGAGCGCAGTTGGGTGAGGAAGGTGGCTCAGCCAGGGGACCTGCAGGCCAGTGGTGACCCTCACCTGTCCCCCAGCCAGGTGCAGCGTTCCCGCTGGGCCCCTTTGGGACACGGCTCTGCTGCCACGTGGGCGGGAACCAGCCCGTGGTGGCCAAGAGCCAAACTGGCTCCAGAGCTGCCAGGCAGGAGGGAGCTGGGCGGGTCTCACCCTCATGCAGTGCCCAGCCAGGCCAAACCCTGGCAGGTTTTCAGTGTTTAGAAAATAAATGTACAAGGGGGGAGAGAAGGAAGTGTCCATGCAAGCTTCTTGCATCAGCCATAGGGAACATCACCTTGGCAGGTCAGGTCTCAAGCACTCATCCTTCAGGGGAAGGGAAGCTGGGTGTGCACCACCTTCAGCTGGTGTAAACACACTGGCCATGTCCAGCAAGCTCCTTTCCTCCCCTGGTGTCCTCACTTCTGCTGTACCCATCTTACCCTGCTCTGCCCAGCATCCATGGCACTTGGATATTCTGCTCCTCCCTCCAGGGGCTTGCTGAGAAGCAGCCAAGGAGTCTCCACATTTCTGCAGCACAATTCACTGGGAAGTAATCCATCTCTGCTTTCCCCAAATTCAACGAAAGCACCTGACTGGCATCCCCAGTCCTGCTTCTCTGCCTCATCCTTCACCCCAGATGTGTCCCTGTGCCTGCCCAGACCACATCAAGCAGCTTTAGGTGCTGCCTCCCAGCCCTGTGCTGGCCCTGCAAAGGCTCCGAGGAAGCAGTCTCCAGGGAAACTCCTCTGCTGAGCAGTGATTTGGGCAGGAGCTCCCCACCTCCCTTGCTCCGTGTACAACAGCTTATTTATTTCTCCCCGACTGAAGCGTGGCTTGCATATTTATTGCAGACAGCCGGCTGCTTTGGTGCTGGCCTGGAGGTTTAAAGATGCTTTGATGGTGGCCATTAATGTCTCTGAGCATCTCTGGGTCTTGCTTGGCTGGAATATCCCCAGCTTCATTTCTGCTGGTCTGGCAAGCTCACCTAGGGGCCCAACCTTCCCTTTGGGAACAGCTTTAGTTCAGTGGCCCGGAGCAAGGCCTGTGCATGGCAAGGAGCACAAAGCAGCCAATGTGACTGATATGCTCCTTAACTTCACCATCCTGTTTGGCTGGTAGCTCAGCCCCTTTCTCAGGTTCCACTTGCCTAATTTTGTCCAGCACTCTGGCCACGAGGTCACTGTTAAAAGTGTTTCCTACAGTTTCACCTTTGCTCTAGTCTGGTCCCGAATGCTGATCAGCATCTGCAGCACATTCCTGATCACCCCTCCTTTCCCTGCATCCAGGGGCTGTGCAGACCTCGCAGCCAGCTCAGATTTGAAGTGTGCTTCAAGGGAATTTTCTCTCCCCAGCACCTCCAGGCCGGTTTGTTTGCTGCCAGTGCTGGTCACGTTGTTCCCTGGTGAGATGCCCAAGCTTTACACGTGGATGGCAGAATATTAAGGCTCAGGCATCTTTAACGCTGTGCAAAAGAGAAAGAGGATTTTTCCAAGGAAAGTCCAAGCTTCCTATCCTGAGTCATATGCTTTGACTTATTTATGTGGTTGTTATTGCTCTGTGAACCCTGCCAGGCAGAAACATTGTCAGGGACAATGCACACAAGGTTGTGCTGACTTTCCTGCAGCAGCCCTGCAGTGTTGCCCTCCAGCAAACCCAGCTGCCCCCAGGGGCGTCAAAATCCTGCTCCCAATGGACTTGCAAATGCAGCCTGACCATCCAGCTGCTGGTGCCCACAGGGAAAAGCTTTTCAAAGGACACACAGAGCTCATTCCTAGAAGAGAAAGATCTTTGCTCTGAGAAAGGAGTGGTTTGCTGGTGCAGAACCATTCTCAGGACTCTGGGCCAACACTTACAACCTTGAGATTGAAATGGGAATTTTTAATTTCAGAAAACCTGACAGTTTCCCATTGAAAAATACTCAGCTTGTCCCAAAGTTCCTCATCGGGATAATCTGATCCAACCTATTCAGTCTGGGTGAGATTCTTTCCCACAAAACAGTGGAAGTTTTCAGTCCCAATTTACTGTGCCACTGGTGGGGCTGGCTGCCAGCAAATCTTTGTGACCCTGCCATGGCAAGTGCCTCCCAACCCCAGCAGACACCTGTTAGTGGCACATAATGGCCATCACAAAGGACTCGAGTACTTTTGAAATAAAACACCCAAACCTTTTATTCTACCACTCAAAATACCCACATTTCAACCTGCTTTAGCTCAGAACCAGGAGAAAGTGTCCATTCGTGCAGGTTTCTGCCAGAGACAACTCCAATGTCCCCTTGTTTAACCCAGATTTCAGCCTCTCCTTGCTCCATTTTTAACCCCAGAGCTCCCACCCCTGCTCTGGAGAGAGGGACCATGCACTAAAGCACGATGTGCAGCCAGAGCAGCAAGCTCAGCTTCTGCACTTCTGCTGCTAGGGCACAGGGGTGAGAAACACACTGAGTGCTCCCAGACAGTCCCATAGGCTTTTTCCATCTGCAGTCATGTGATCCAGAGAGATGGAAGACACTCCCTGGCTCTGAGATTAATTCACTTGGACCCTTCCAGCAAAGCATATGAAGGATCAGCATGAGGAGTGAGCGCATTCCCACCAATAAGTAATTTTCAACCTGTGTAATAAAACAGCGGACACTAACGAGTTCCATTACATCCCCATTAAAAAGTGCTTCCACTTAGCAGGACTGCACAGCCCAGGGGCTGGGGCTCCGTGGTTTGATGCTGCAGCCCAGACAAAGGCACTGTGCTCTCAGGGCACCCGTGCCATGCGTGGGGTAGGAACCATCTCTCAAAGCTGCCTGCCCCTCGCTGCTTCCAGCCATCCTCTGCACGCTGGGAAGTGATGTTTGTGTCTGAGAGTGCACCCCATGGATTTTTCTGGTGCTAGGAAGTTAGATTGAAATGTGAGCAAATATTCTGTAATTAAAATCTGAAGCCTGTTATGCAGCTTTTGCGTGTTTTTAATAAATGGATTGGAGGGGGGGGATAGCTAATGATGCATAACTGCTTTTATCAACAAC